TTCTTTGGGAGCTTTTTTGGTTCCCAGGAGCTCCTCATTCCAAAAGCAGCCCTCAAATCTTAAACTCAGGCGAAGCATAGCGAACGCTGTCTGCCTTCTCTTTGGGAGTCAGTGGGGAGGCCCAGGGACGCCCTGGCTTCTGTGCATTGTGGTTTCCCGCCTCTCCTCCCACACGCACCTCAAAAAGAAGTGCAGGCTACAACCTCACCAAGGTGGCCTTTGTAATAACCGCCCCAAAAGCAGCGGGTTACACTTCAGCTGCTCCCCATAGTTTTGGCCCTGTCAGACTCACAAAGTTTGCCAGAAAAGTCGATAGAAGGCTGACAGATCAAAAGTGAGTCGTGCCAACGCTCCTCTTAGGAAACAGTTAGAAGGGTGTCTGACTGCTAACACCTCGGTTCTTTTCATAGTAGGTCTGAAAATAGCTCAGAATTCTTTAAATGTCTGGAGCTGTAGGCGATGAAAAGAGGTTTGAGTGCAAAAAAAAAAAAAAAAAAAAAACCTCCCCAGAACCCCAATTCTGTTCCTACCACAGTCCCCAGCCTGCCTGCTCAGGCAACATTCCTGGATGCTCAGGAACTGGTAGACAGCCACATATCACCTTGGGGGACCTTCAGTCTGGGACTCAGAGCTGGCCACCCATGGAGAGATTATTTTTCTGTTCACTCAACATTCAGATCATCAGGCCCTTTGTGCTGTCACCTTTATGTGCCCCTTGCTACAGATCTCTTACATCCTTGTGACCTGCCTCTGTTCCCCCCACTGAAGGCAACTCCTTTCTAAATGGGCCCTTTTCTGTCTTTGAGCTTTCAGGAGGCATTGGATTTTTCCACTTCCTCAGCTGAGTCCCTTCCTACTGGTGGTCGTATTTAGCATAAGTACCCACAGTGGTCAAAGTCACAAAAAGGCCTAAGTTACTGGATAGGGAAAGGTGAATCGGGGGAGGGCAGGTTGCAGAAAAGGAAGGATCAGACAGACCGGAGTCTGCTGGGAATCTGAAAATGCAGATTAAGGAGGATTGAAGTGGGGCGCGAGCTTGTGGAATGGATACGATGAGATCAGGGTGTGGCAATGCTGTGAAGAAAGCACTGGTAGAATTTCCCCATGATGATCTGAAATCCACCCGCTCTCAATCACCTATGAGGATGAGGGTACAGCGAGGCCCTGGGTTCCACCCACAGCGACATGAAACAAAATCACTGGAGAGCTTTCAGACTGCAGATTCCTGCTCCCACCCCAAGAGTCCGGTTTTATAGATGCACAATGCCCGAGATTGACTTTGGGAAAAACTCCCTAGGCAATTTTACCCAAAGTGGCTCTAAATTCTATACTGCCGAGTGACTGTGAGCAATGTGCTTTCCATTTATTTTCCTGAGGTCTAGTTTGGTGCTCAGCAACTAGCCAGTTGTTGGCAGATGAGTGCCATGCTGAGCAAATAAATGGAGAGGAGAAAAAGGTGGCTGGATCTCCACCCTGAGGGGCTGGGGGCTCTGTGGTCCCATGAACAGGAATGAGGAAGAAGTCAGGAGGAAGTTTGGAGTGAAGGAGGAAAGTCCTGCGTCAGCCATGGCAACTTCCAAACGCAGGGGGTGAGGTGGGCTCAGGCAGGAGGCAGGAATCGTGTGTCCCTCATATTCAGGCTGCCAAGGACAGACTCAGGAAAGGCATGAAAAGGACAGTCAGGAGGAGGCCGCCAAACCAGCAGAGCCAACGCACGGTTCCAAACCTCTGGGAGGAGAGAGTGCAAAGAGCTTAGACACTTATGGATGGGGTCAAAGAATTTGGGGAACTTGAGAACTGAGCAGAGGCCACCGCATTTAGCTCCTCAGAAAGCACTGGCCCTGGAGAGAACGGTTTCACAGAGTGGCAGGTAAATAAGGAAATGGATGGAGAGGAAAGCTAGAGCGCACCCACCCTAGCACTTCTCCAGGAAGGGACAGAAGCACTGGCAGACGACAGGCCAGCGGAGAGGGGCAAGGTCCTGGGGCTCACTCACTCTGTCCCCAGCTGCCCTCTGGTGCCAGTCTCCTGCAGGGGCTGCCTTGGCTCTCTTGTGTGTCTGCACCTCGGCACATGTGGTCTCGGCTTCCATCTCCAAGCTGATGGCTCCCATCCCAACCACCTCTCCACATACACCTCTGTCTGTGTCCCATAGGTACTCGGGCAACATAGCTCTACCTTGGGGAGAGATTTGAGTGGCCCCTGTCTCTCTCGGCAGCAGCACAAGCCACCCAGCCATGCATCACACACCCCCGGCGTGATGGAGGCCTGGAGAGCTGACCTCCTCCTGGGTGACTGCACGCCCTTGCTCTTCACCCACTCTCTGTCACTGTGACTTCAAATAGGCCCGGCCACGCTTCCCAGCTGCTGCCAGGCACACTGGACAACAGTAGTCTGGCCAGGATGTCACCCCAGTGACAAAGGGATGCAGCTCGAGCTCTTTAGATGGCCTTGCTCTGGCCCGATTTCTTTTCAGCCCCGAGGACTCAGGCACTTCGCACAGGAGCTGGGCTCCTTTGCTCTTGGTGAACTTTGTTATGCAGGTCCCTGCTCGTGGAGGAAGAGCTTTCCTCCATCCCCTTCCCTCCCTGGCTCCATCCTTGACTTTCACCAGCACCGATGGTCTAGATAACACCTGGCCTTCTCCCTGCTCACAACCCAGAAGTTCCCATTTTCAGAGAGAGTTTCTTCCCTGTATTGTATCTTCACGGCCCTCTTCATCCAGAATGTGTTTAGTGGGCCCCAGAGCTCTCTAGTCCGCCAGATTGCGGAGGCTTTGGGAGGGAAAGGGGAGCCAAACTCAGGGAGCAGAAGAGGCTGTGTGACCCCCAAAGGCCCCTGGTGGGAACCGGAGCTGGGAGCATCCCAGAAACACAGCAAATCCAACTTCATCCAGCGTCACCTCCGAGTTGCTTTCCCTGCTCTCCTCTACCCTTTTCTTCATTCACCCGCTCCTGCTTTGTCTCCTCCCACCCCCTTCCTGGCTTCTTCTGTCCCTTTTCCTTTTGCAGGAGCTTGCTGGGCTCCAGACCCTGCCTGTCCTCTGCTCCTCTGACAGCGGCATTTTCCCTTGGGCGGCCAGTGAGGCCCTGCTTGGGTCTGCGTCTTCTGAACACCTCAGCGTGCCGGCTGCTGACCCACACATCTGCTCAGGAGTCTGGCGAGGCTGATAAATGGGGTCACAGAGGGAGGACAGTGGTGCAGCTTTTCAGACCTGCGGTATTAACGGGATGGGGAGGAAGTGACAGTTCAAAGTTCTCCTGAAATAAGCAGCAATAACCGTTCGAGTGAAGCCTTCTTCCCTCAAGCAGTGCTTGCTTTGCCTCTTCCAGTGCACAGCACCCTGGCCCCAGATAGCTACACCCCTGCTGGAGAGGGCAACAAGCTCTGCCACATGTGACAGGAGCACAAGGGTTCCAGTAAATTTCTGGAGCCTTCATGGGAGCCCCCCAGAGTCCTGCTTCAGCTTACACAGAAGCGGATGCCTGCAGTTCCACCTCCCTGAAGTATAAGTTATGTGTGGGAAGGGGAGATTCGTCTACACCAGTGACGGCAAACCTTTTAGAGCTTTCAGTGATACAAACAGCTCACTGTGGCATGCGTGCTGTAGATTCGAATACTGTACTCTCGGGAGCCCTAGGTGTGCCCCAGTTAGCTCATGAGAACATGAGTAGGGACGAGGACAGCAACAAAAACGAGCAGTAGCCCTAAAGCCAGGTGGGAGCAACGTGATTTTTCTCACAGAACAAAATAGTTAGATTAGGTATAAATATCAATAATTTAAAGCCCAAGCAGGGCATGGTGATATATGCCTGAAATTCTAATACTGGGGAGGCTGAGGCAGTAGGATTGCTGTGAGTTCAAGGCCAGCCTGAACTACATAGTTAGACCCTGTCTAAAAACAAAACCAAAAATAAAATAGAATTTAAAATATGGGGTGGGAATGTAGCTCAGTGCAAAGGCCCTGGATTCAATCCCCAGAACTGAAAAAAAAAAAAACAAAACAAAAAAAAACAAAACAAAAAAAAACAAAACAAAACAAAACAAAACAAAAACAACAACAGAAAAATAAAGCCCAAAGGCCACGACTGCTAATGATTTAAAAACTCTCTTCCCTTGGGACAGACACTAGCCCAAGCATTTCCTTGTTACTGTTGTCTCTCAAACTGTTATCTATTGTGGCTGCCTGCTAAAGAGAAAAAAGAAACCAAATAGAAGGTTGTTTGTAAGCCGTCCCTCCGCTTTGCTTAAAAGTCAGTTAGGACTGTCAGGACCTGCTCTCAGCTGTAATGAGGGCAGACAGAGGTGTGCAGAAACGCTCTTTTACACTGAGGTGAACACCTGGGCAGGGCCTCAGGATGGCCAACCCCGTCCTCATGCAGCAGCGGGAAGAGCTGAAGGCACAAATAACTGAGCAGGGGCCTCAGCCTAGCGTCCTTCCCACTAATCCCCGGTGACCTTCAGGAGGGCTCAGGCTCTAAGTCCAGGGCACACGGAGCTGAGACACTTCCCAAGACTCCAGCAATACTCACACCCAAACCAACCAGGACATTCAGGGTGGCCAGTACCCAACCTGCTTCCCGGGACAGGAGCTGGCCCAGCAGGCCATCGGAGGTGCTGGGCAGGACAGCACGCAGGAGGAAGACCCAGCAAGGCCCCTGGGGCACAAGGGTTCCAAGAATACATGATCATTCCCCTACCAAGTACCCCAGTGGCTCTCGCTCCTGCCCAAAGGGGCCTCACCCCTATCTGCCTGTGAAGAATAAGCAACTTTTCTTTCTCAACCACTGCTCAAAAAGCCCAGCCTTTCTCAGGAAGTCTCCAATGTCCTTGTGTTCGCCGCTCCCTAGGGCGTTGAAGGGCCTCAGTGAAGCGGAGATGGCTCTTTTCTGTTTGAGCTGCATATTTGCAAGGCTGGAGGCCTGAGCATGCCAGCCACGTGCCTCATTCCCAGTCAAGGCACGAGAGGCAGCACAGCAATCAGACTTAATGGTTTGGCGGAGCCCGCGATGATGCTGGCGCAATAGTGCGTTAATGAGTGCTAGAACTGACTGCAAATACAGCGTTCTCAGTGTTTAAAATTACAACTCTGCAACAAGTCATGCTGTTAAAACATACAAGACATAGCAGTCCAGCCTTCAAGTACATACCACGCGGCCCGCACAGATCACTGCTATCCCAAAGTGCATAACAAATCATTTTCTTTGAAATGAGGCGAGAATGAGCAGGTAGTTCAATGACTTGAGTGCTAAGTAGAAATGACAAATCCAAATATTAAATGCCAGTTACCACCCGATGAGCTACAAATCAGCCCGGCATTACAACATGCCCCTCCTTAGCAGCAAACCCGAAAAATGTAGGGGTTTGCTAAAAACAGATCTGAGACCAATGTGCATCTGTGTAGTAAACTGATGTTACTTCCCAGCCCAGCCCCTTGGAGATGCTTGTCCCATATATTTGTCCTGGTGGCACTGAAAAGAGCCACCTTCACATGTCGGTAGTGAAGCTGCTCTTAAGCCTACAGCTGGAAATGATCTCATGTCAGCTCTGTGCTCCTGAAGGAGGCTTATGGGTCAGTCTGAAAGCCTGGTAGCCAAAGGTGGTCTCATGTTTATGGCCTTCATTCCAAGGACCAGGCAGGAAGTTAGCCTGACCCTCCCTGCGTAACTCCAGGGACCAGAGGATGCTGTACTGCTGTGTGAGGTGCCGGCAGCAGAGTCGGTCACAGTCCTTGCCTCTGAGGCAGCACTGTGAACCTGACTTTGGATGGGTGTGCAAGAAGTCCCCTGCGCCACACTTGCGTCACCATCTTTGTGGGAATTCACCACAGTGTTCAAGCTGGCTGTGCTGTTCCCCCTCCCCATTCTCGGAAACCACCCCTTAGAGAACTTAGTGCTATTGGGACAACCTCATGCTCAGAAGTGACTGGAGATCCCAGCGGACAAAGGAATATTTTTTTTACAAGTATACATATATGTACAAAAGATGTTTAAAACATAGTCTCTAAAGCACTTTGGGATTCCCCCAATGAAAGGCACCAGAAAAATGCAAGTCATTACCAAAAAAGAAAAGTCAAGTTTTCCAGCTTTCACACCTGCAAAGGCAGCCACTCGGAGTGCCACTTTGTTGGGTGGTAAACCTGCTTGTTTAGAGAAAAAACCATGAGAGAGACTGAGTTTCTGCTTCCTTCCTCATTTCCACTTCGCACAACCTTCATGGCCAGTGACCATGGGTACCACACTTAGTGACCCAATGCCACCAGCCTTGGCAAACAAACCAGTCCTCGTGAGTGTGTATCATCAGCTGCCCTGAGTGCAGCTGGGCAGATTTCCTGCCTTCCTGGTTTGAAAACTTCAGCCAAAGCCAAGAGCTCCAAGTGTAAATTCTGAAAAAATAACCCTGCTCTCCGACTCACTGGCTGGTTGCCTTTAAGTCACCTCACCTGTCCTGATTTTTCTGAAAAACAGATGTAGGCTCTAAGATGTGGCCACCACTCTGCCCCTCATATGACTCCAGGCTGTGGAAAGATTTGAACCGGAGGCTCAAGGGCAGGAGCGGCCCACGCATTCATCCAACAAATTGCCCACACTGTAGTAGCCATGGCAACTACAAGTATACAAAAGCCCTCTGTGAAGATCTTCTCTTCACCCCTGCGAGGTATGGATTACCTTCAACCAACTAAAACACAAGATGGGCCTCCCAGCTTTGCATAAAAAGCCCGGCTAACTCCATACTTAGATGTGGATTCTACAGCCCTGGCAAAGACTGCACCATAATGAAAGCCACCTGGAAAACCTTCAGATTACTGACAAGATGATGGAAAAAAATTATTTTATGAAGGGGCCCAGGCTCCACTTTGAAAGGCATTGTGCTGGGTAACTGAAGAGGAGGAGCTGGGGCCTTTTGGAGAAGGAAACAGTGGTCCCCCTTCAACACAAGCTTAGAGTTTAAAGGTCTTTGAAATAGCCTTAAGCTTTTTCTCCAAGTTTATAATTATTCATGACATTTATGAAACAGCAGTTGTTTGTTTTATAACTCTTTCCTTTCTCCTAGCCTCTACCCACCCTCCTCTGACAATGGCAATTGGAACAGAAGTAAGAATACTGTTCCCATCCTTGGAAGCCACACTGGCTTCTGCATGTCTATTGTGAGTATACACTTCCCAATCACCAGGTTTCCATGTCACAGCAGGAACTCTGAGGCAATCCTAACATCATACACAACATGCTGTATCCTAGAAGCAAAGTTATCCCAGCAAATTCTGTCTGAAAATGAAAAGGGCTCTCATTTTATGAGCTTTCAGAGCAGGCAACAAAAGTATTTAGGCTACTGCCCTTGCTAGCAACCTAACAATGCTCAATACAACAGTAAACCTCTCCTAGGTTGAGGAAGACAATTTGACCTTATTCCTAAACATCTTAAAAAATAAATATTTCAAGAAACATGCTAATATAGAAGACTCAGCAAACTTTGGTCAAAAAGCCTAGAATAGGAACCAGTGTCTCTCGGATCACCCTAGGAAAGAGGTGAAAAAGCCCAACCTGCATGGACCACATCAAGCATCCAGGGACTGGTCATGTTTAGCTGAAGTCCCTGTCTCTAATATATCTGTTTTCTTAAAGAAAAAAAAAACATTTCAACCTTCACTACATGTTTAACATTCTCTAGAGAGTGACATCTACAAGATGAACATGAAATACATCTTTCTAAAAGTGATTGCTGTACGTATGTGAGCCACAGAGCTACAAGTCATCTAGAAAAACAATACACAGACTTGTCTTAGTCAGGAGTGCTTAACTTTGCATTCTCTTTGTTTTGGTATTAAAACTAAGTGAAAGCAATGGATAAAGAATTGAGATTTTGTTTTTACATGATGGTGAGCAAAATCTCATGCTATCCTTGCTGACTTCATAGACAGACATGTTGCCACTGGACAGACTTGTGGGGGCTTCTTTTCGTATGGAACTCACATGAAAACCTCAGAAACAGGAGCACAAACAACTCACAGACAGTACCAGGCCACAAGCACTGGAAGAGTGTACACAGTAGACAGAGAAATTGGCATTCTGGGTACTCATCTGGCAGAAAGATGAACATTTTATGCCCACCATGCAAATACCAGTGACTGTCATTTTGTTGAAAGATGCGAAGGCATGGTGTTGGACACACCACCCTCTAGAAGTGACTCTAAATACCATAACACCGACCTGGGGTGCTATCCCATGCATCTCTCCCCTTGGGGCTTGGGAAGATTCCCTGCGCCATAACCAAAGCTGCCCAGCAGCTCAGCATCGTGGGTTTCAGGGTGACAACGCCTCCCAGCTAATGTAGAGAATCATTTAAACTTAGTTCACTCGGTGAGCTCCTACTCATGTTCGTCAGGCTTGCCATGAGGGATTTAACTTTATGGGCATAGTAGTCCCTTAAATTGACTGAAGGGACCTCCTTCATTCCATCTCCAAAGTCACAGCTGCGCATGGCACTCTCAAGTTGCTTCTGGCGCCGATAAAAGTGGGAGAACTTGTTAAAGATCAAGGTGATGGGCAGTACCACCACGAGGATACCTGCCAGGATGCAAGCAGAGGCGGTCAGCTTCCCTGCCGTGGTCCCTGGGACCACATCCCCATAGCCCACAGTGGTCATACTGACAGTAGCCCACCACCAGCAGGCAGGGATGGTGGCCAGCCCCTCATTTTCCTCCTTTTCGATGGTGTAGGCCACCACGGAGAAGATGGAAATCCCCACGGAGAGGTAGAGCAAGAGCAGCCCTACTTCTTTGTAGCTGTACTTCAAGGTGGCCCCCAGGGAGCGGAGGCCGGTGGAGTGTCTGGCCAGTTTCAAGATGCGGAAGATACGCATCAGCCTCAGGACCTGGGCCACCCTGCCCAGGTTGGCCAAGGTAGGCGTACTCTCCACCACCAGATTCACCACTAGAGTGATGTAAAAGGGGACGATGGACATGAGGTCAATAAGGTTTAGGGCGTTCCTGAAGAACTTGAAGAAATCAGGCGCCACAGCAAACCTGGCCACCAGCTCAAAAGTGAACCACGCAATGCCGAAGTGCTCCACGATTTCGAACCTGGGGTCCTCGCCAGGGTTGCCCTGGCTGTCGGGGATTTGGAAGTCCGGCAGGCTATTGAGGCACATGGTGATGATGGACCCCAGCACCACCAGGATGGACAGGACGCTGAAGACCCTGCTCAGGACCGAGTAGCCCGGGTTGTCCAGAGCCAGCCACAGCTGCCTGCGGAAGTTGCCCAGGGGCTGCCCGTCAAACTTGGAGGCATCGTTGTAGAAGGCCAGGATCTCGTCGAAGGAGGATGTGGTGCTCTCCTGGTCACTCTGCTCGTCCCATTTCTCCTGTTCAGGCTCCACTTTGCGGCCGTGATAGCTGTAGCTGCAGCAGGAGTCAATGAAGAACTCGTTGATGCCCCAGTACTCGATCTCCTGGCTGAAGGAGAAGACGCACAGCTCGGCCATGACGTGCAGCTTGCCGGTGTGGTAGAAATGCAGCACGTAGGGGAAGAGCTCGGGGTTGCGGTCGAAGTAGAACTCTCGCTGGGCGTCGTCGTAGTCATCGCACAGCTCCAGCATGGCCTCGCGCGAGTGGCAGAGCAGCAGGCGGCCCAGGCGCGTCTCCGGGAAGCGCAGCAGCGTGTGCGAGTGCAGCCTCCTCTTGAAGCCGCCCACGTTGATGCGGATCTCGCCGTCCTCGACGACGTTGGCCTCCGACACGTCCCACAGGCTCTGGCCGGTCATGC